TCCCCGCTGGCGACAACCCTCCTGGGCCAGGGGTGGGTGTGGGGTGCCGCTGAAACAGCCCAAACTGGACGCGAGTCCTTCTCCTTGTTGTGTTTTTTTTTTGTGCGTGGGTGCTTTTATGCAGGCGCGGAGCCGTTTGGGGGGAGGGTTTTATCCCTCCCGTGTTAACGTTTTGGCCCCACGGCTGCCTCTGCTCGAGCTTTCTCGTGGCCGGCCCCCCCACCCGCTGCTACCCCGGGAGCGGGGCAGAAACACCCCGGAGAAATCTCGGGTGTCTCCAAGGGGCGGCCCGCGGGGTGCTTCGGGCAGCCTTGACCCTCGAAACCCCTCCTTTCCCTGAAGCCTCCGTGAATAAGGCAAAGGCGTGAGTCTGTGTCTGCTCAGGGAGCACGTTTCAGCGTCTCCCATCTGTCATGGAAGATGCTTTTATTTATGGCTCTTCTTGCCAGGATTTTTGGCAGGTGCTGTTTTTCCTCGCTGGTTGTTTTGACCCTGGAGTACACACGAGCACGTGGGCTGTGTGTCTGCGAGGTTCGCCAGACCCGAGGAGCTTGTTGTTCCCGGTGGTTTTGTCTGAGTTGGGGAAACAGCTGACGAACAGTTGGTGAAACGAGTCGGGCAGGTCTTGGCCCGGGCTGGTAGAGGAGGCGGCTGTTTCTGTTGGGTAAGGCTGTCTGCTGGGGTACCGGGAGTTGGGAGGGGGGGGTGAGGTGGGGTTGGGTGGTCCCGTGCCATCCGAAATCCTCTGGGGATGGTGCTCGCTGTGAGATGCGAAGACTGGAGCAGACCGTGGGGTCTGATCTTGCTCCTGGCAGTAGCCGGGAGGCTGATCTTGCTCCTGGGAGATGATGGCAGCGCTGTAAACGTGCTCTGATCTAATTAGTCCTGGGCGGTAAGCGGGCGTTAGGGCCTGTCACGTGAGGTGCGGTAGTTTTAGTGATTTGCGCCGGACTGGGAACAAACACCGACTGTCGCGTCTGAAGGTGGTGTCGTGGGGACTGTTAGCTCTGCCGGAGCCGCCCGCCCCGCAGGTGACCGGGATCCACGAGGTGACGGTCAGCCCTTCGTGCTGGCAGGAGACCGTTGCGGTGGGGACAGCGGCGGTGGCCCTGGCTGGCTGCCCGGCGGGGAGGGACAGGGATGGCCTCGCTGGGGGGGGGGCGCAGGCTCTGGGAGGCAGCGCGGGGCTGGGTCTCAAGCCAGCGCCTGAACGCTCCGGTTTATCCCCAGCCGGCTCCATAAAAAAGGGCTGGACCTTTTATTAGTGCTGTAAAGCCTTGTGCTGTTGCCTGCTGCGTGCCGAGGGCTGGCGTTTCCTGCTTCCCCATCGGAGCAGATGTGGGTCAGGCTCCTCCTCGGTCC